TAGCCGGCGGATTTTGCTATGTAAAATTCCGTTCCAAGCTGACTTGGGCTTACTACGCGGCTAAGTTTATTAGCCGTGGGCTTAATAACCGGCGACTACTGTATAAGATAGCCTCAACAATGCTTAAGTGTCAATCCTCTAACCAGACTGGCTGTACCAATAAGGTTGTTGCTTCGAGTAGCTTGCAAGGGAGTCGGCCAAATATCGCCTGACTCTAGGCAAAAGAATATCGCAAATTCAATAACTCCACACGTGTTTAGGGCGAAGCCAGGCCTGAGAGAGCGTGTGTGGTGGGAGAGGGGACGACCGCTGATTTTATTTGATTATACTGTAGTGTTCCATTGTTGAGTCTCATTGACAAGAGAGAGGCCCATGTTGCGTCTGCCGGGGTAGAAAAGGGTGTTTTTTTTTCAAGTAATCTGGCGCATATGCGTGTGTGCGCGGACAACTAGATCAAGAGTACTCAGGTCAGCAAGCCACAGCATTCCTGCGTTGGCCGGTGGGTGGCGTGCTCAAGTAGCAATTTTGCTGACACGACTGTTTTGGACACGCATGTGTCCTTGAGTGGAAATGGGTCAGGCGGCTTCAGTTTGGCAAGTCGGGAACGGCTGTATTTGTAGTTTACAAGCCGACGGCGTCTAGAGGTCATGTCATGTTATTTTCTGTACCCGTCGCAAATTCCTCCTCATACCAGATGCTCAAATGTCGCTTAATTATGACGGCGCATTGCGAAGAAAGTAAGGATTACCAAAATTCGGATATAAAAATGGAAGAAATGTGTAAGTAGTCGCAATAGTTTTGACCGGTCCGCAAGACAACTAGAAATATGTAGACTCCATTGGGCACCTCCACAGTCAACGGCGCTACGCGAACAATCTAAGTTTTCACTCAGATGGTCTGCCTCAGATTGTGCAGTGTAAGTAACTTCCATAAAGTAACATAAAACTGAGCTGCATTTACAGTATTGAGTGTAGAAGACAGATAAATATTAGCCGTTTTGAGTCATCACTGCATTGAAAACATCCTCCGAGTCAGGCTCACGATGATACTAGGTTCCTGATGAGCTCGTTTTATAAAGGGACAGTTTAAGGTGTTTCAGATTTTTGTGTGCTCTATGGTCGAGAACAACTACCATTTTTCGATAGATAATGAGGCTCTTGGGCTAATGGGAAACATGAAATATTTTTGGTCGACGTTTCTTAGAACTCATGAGGCCAAAAGTAAACCGACAATTGAGGCCGATGTCCTACTCCGCCAATTACTCTGGGATCGGCTCAAGGCGATTTTGAACGTCAAGAAGTGAATATCGAGGACCTCCGTCAGGGCGCACTTTGATGTAGGTCACAGACAGCCCATATTGAGGCGATTGAATCTGAATTTCTTACTCCGAACTCCAATGAGCCTGTTTGATCTCTTGAGGGAACAAATAATATCGGAGGTTTAGCAGTCGCGATTGATCTTATGCCCCTACTATTTTAAGCACCTCTCGAAGTCCTGCTACCAGAGAAGCTTTAACAATTTTGAAGACTGCAGTTTAGACGTCGCCTGTTGTTGCGCGGTCCCAGTAAGAGGCAGGAGATGACGGGAAGCGAAGACTCACATGAGGCGATATATAAACAGTTTACTGATATTCCACGACTTCTTTTTCATGACGTTTTGCTGGTCAAAGTTTGAACAGCTATAGTCAACCGCGAAAGTAAGGCGGTCTGCATTCCATGCTGTTGATGTAAGGCTCTGTGAACTGAGTTTCCGAGGAACGGACGAACAACGAGTTCTCGTATGAAGAGTGTGTGACAGAAAACATTTGTGCGAAGTGCCAGTCCATCAAACAGTTTTTAAACGAAGTAAGAAAATCAAGGACAATTATGTGTTTGAAAGTGGGGACGTGCATTCTCCTCAGCCCAAAAAGAGCCAATTAGACAGTCTTAGGAATTTCAGCATATAAACTGGCGAACATACGTTCGTGTTAGATACATTATCGTCAAGCCTTTACATTTATATGGTAATTAACTAAATTAATTATGGGAGTTGGTAGAATGTTGGGCTCAGCTGCAGATAATTCTGATGAAAACGGCGGCAATGTCAGTTTTCCCTGATTAAACATGTATGAGCACTTTTTGTATGCTTAACCGCAAGTTTAGTGGACTTCAACTGGGTCTGGAGACTTTCAAAGTCTAGCTAATTTTAATGCCATTTAAGCCCCCTGAAGGATTTTTAGAGGAGTCACCTTTCCCATGCGATTTTCATCCTCAGGTTAAGGTGGACGCAAGCATTTATTGAATGTCAATGCTACTAATGCATTCCTTTTCAAACCATTCCACTCAGACTGCTTGCATTTAATCTTCCTTTTAGGCAACTGGCTTTTCGCATGCAATGGCTGGTCAACAGACGCAGATTTTTGAAGACGAACTACCTCTGATTCGATGCCTTCCTGAGTTAGATAACTTTCGCAACAAGCGCACACTAACCGACCTCTCGATTGAGGTAGGTAAACATCGCAATACTTTCATCGCCTTCTCCGATTTAAAGCTACAAAACAACGTCGTGCTGCATGTGCACAAGGTTGTTTTGGCCTCCAGAATAGTCTCGCTGCGTAATTCCGTGTGTAGAATGCCCAAAGCGGGGAAGGCTGTCCTTCAATGGCCAACAGTCTCTTCTGAGTAATGGCCATGTTACATTACGACTGTCATCTAGAGTCGCTAAACCCCTAATTGAATATGTTTATACGGGCCAGCTGAAGGTCAACGAAGCCCATGCTGCCGGTCTGGTAATGCTTTCAAAACAACTTTTACTGCCTCACGTTGAAGAGTGGGTGCTGGGTTTTATGGCTGTCAGGTAAGTGTTTAAGCCTTCTGAGTAAATTTCAGGCTAAATGCTGGCAATATTGCAAATAACTGGAATTTTGCGCGAATGCTACACAACGACCAGTTACAGAACGCCTGCCTCGAGCATATCAAGAAAACATTTGAGACCACAATCGCAAGCGATTTTTTCCTGCAGCTGCCGTTAGACAGTGTCTTGTCCATTTTGCGGGCAGATGACCTTGAAGTGGACAATGAAGAACGAGTGTTCGAGGCGATTCGACTGTGGGTCAGCCCAAGTGGTGAAGTAGATAACACCCGAGTGGTTCACGCAGCAGAAATGATGAGGGAAGTACGATGGAATCGAGTAAATCCCGACTTCCGATACAAACTACTTGAGAATGAGGGCTTTTGGAATACGAATGTTGAGTGTTTGTAAGTTGTCGAAATACTCTTGAGTTTTCAAATTTTCAGACGACTTCTAGGCCGTATATCTGGCTGGTTTGAAGGCCCATCTTTAAGGACGGGTAGAGAGTGTCCATTTAATGATAATCGCAGAAGTGCATTTGATGACATCTGTCTTGTCGGTACTTCGGCAGCCAGCAGTCAATCGGTATTGATAAAGTACGATACCGTGACAAGCACTTCAGAGCAGCTGGAAATATTAGGGAACCGAAGCTCTGCAGCCTTTGTCGGTATTGAGGGTGAGTTTCAAGCAGCTTCATGAACTCTTTTTAAATTGCTCGTTTAAACATTGTTTTCGCACAGTTTGTGCAGTCGGAGGGGTTGCACGCAAAACCATATTATCATAGTCAGTATATGACTGCATCTGAGGACCGGATTGATTCCTCGTTGTAACATTTTCAATTGGGATATCGTCGTGTTACCGTACTCAATATTAACTATCTATTTTATATTGAAGCACATAACTCAGGAAAAAGATCGCTATCACTGGTCGAGCTTGCGTTTATCATCTACAATTTTAAAACATGTTCATAAAATGATGCAATTTTACGCAAGACGAGTATGAAACCCAATTACATTGCCGGTGGTGTGCTGCTGACTGAACCTATGCCCTCGAATTAGATGTATTCCAACAGGCAGTTAATTTATCTTCAATTTCTTGCATGGGATATCACCAGATTTGTTTTTTTTCCAGTACTGGTATTTAACCATCCCCTGTCCTCTGGTCACTTTTCTTAAATTGTGCAGTCGGACGCGGTCATTATCATGCCGCTTTGAGACACTAGGAGCATCAACATAAGACCGAATTCATTCTCAGCTTTGGACTTCGCCTGGAAAATTCTTTGGGTATATTTTACTCTTCCACTGATTGCGTACTTTCGATATTTCTAAAATTGGTTTGAAGACTTAACTCTGTATACGTCAGCGTAACACCTCCTGGATTCACAGCACAGGAAGAGTTGCGTTTCTCCTTTGCGACAAGATGATTTGGTGACGTGATTATTTTGTATTCCTTAGTTGTTTCCTGAAGTTAGATGAATGCGAGCGTAAATGGAGCACTACGCATGAGTTGTGCAAAACGTCTTTTGCTGGTGAACTCCCCACGAAATAGACGTTTTAGGAGACTTTATTCACTGGCGTTCCTCTATCTGTCCGGGAAATCTGTCCTGTGTTCGACATGGACTCATAAATACTCAGAAGAGTACTGCGGCCTTGTCTGAGTTTGGTTTGGAAGCTTGAACGTCAGGGAGGCAAGGGAGTCGCGGAACTGGGCAGCTTCGCACCTCTCGGTTCTTGATTGTTGTAAGAAATTGGAGAATTGAATAGTACTTATGATTTGCAGAGAACATCTTCCGTCGAAGCTATAATGGCTTGTGATGACGCTGGGAGTTTCTGTATGAGAGATATTTGATTTAAGTGCAACATGTTGTGTTTCATTTTGACATGTAATCCCTCGGAAGAGAACTTGGAACTTGTCTGCCCCTCGTTCTGATACCGAATCAGCTAGCGCGGCCAGGCCTTCCATCAGCCGACAGTAAGCTGAGCGTCCTCACTCCTAGCCATTGTGCTGACTGTCGCTGTCACTGGTGTCGACGGAGTGGGAGAACATGCTGTGAACTACTGTACTCGGAAGTAGAACGGCAAATTGTAAAACGGTTACTCTACGTAGGGATAACAGCGGTTGGCACCATCATCGCCTCTTTAGATGGCTAAACCAGTCGCAGTTCAAGTCTGCTTCTGTAGCATTAGTTTATCAAACTCCCTGCTCTGTAATTTGTAACATATCGTTTTTTTTTCGGTAAGTACAGTAGGATAACTCACTCATGAAATACAAGGATTTTTATAAGTAAGACCCTGTTGCTAAAACGCAACCAAAGCTGCGGCCCCCAAAGTCTTACAATAATAAAGTAATGGTCGTTCTTCATAATAGGACATATTGTGATTTATGAAGGGAATTTGGAGTATACATTCCAACACGTTTCCACGAGAATTTGTAGTTTTTCTTTCGGCTATGCATTGTCTTAGTTGCGTTTGACCAAAGCAACCACATTTTCACTTGATTTGGCCTATTGGAATATCACAGGAGTAATATATTTCTTAAGGTCACGTGCGGACATATCGGAATTGTCAGGTGCAATTGTAAACGCACCATTTTTTCTACACTAAGAGTAATTTCTTTCCTTCACATTACTTCGTAGTTATTTGGGGATTTCGATTGCGAAGAGGTTCAGATCTTCCTTGAAATGCTAAGTAAATTTTACGATTTTCACTGGCTTCAGTCGATTGACCATAAATAATGATTGTATTCTACTTGCTTCCTAAAACCTTCAAAATAAGATATATCTTAAAAGAATTTACCTAAATAACGGGCTTTTAAAGATTATTTCTTATGCAGCTATCTGTTTGTTTCCTGGTTTGCGATCCACCCAAACGCGTCAACTCATTGCCGAGAATAATGAACGTTCACAACAAAAGTCGCGAGTGAATATGTCCAAGACTGATTAAAACAACTTCCATAACAAGTTACCTCTTGAAAAAGAGCTTCAGTTGTATATTTTGGCGTCGAATATCTGCGTACTTTATTTTTTGGAAGATTAAGTCAAAATCAGAATGGGAAATTTTTTAAAAACCCTAAAAATTGGGGATACATCTTCTGTTTAAATGAAATAGGTAACTTTTCTATCTAAAACAAGAACAGATTTCAGTATATTCGGCTATTTCTAGGCTCAGTTCTGCAATAACAAAACAGAGCTGAGTGGCAATAATATCAACGGCGATTTTTGAGAAAACTATTTCGCAATGTCCCGCGACAACTCACTCAGATGTGTGTTATGTTAACTGTCTCCAACTTCCTATTGATTGTACAATGAATCTGTTTACTTATACTAATAAAGTTCTCAAACGCATTCCTTGCCTGTAACCCCTCAAATATACAGTATAAAGTTAATATGGGGTAAAGCAAATAACAGCCTTATAAGTTTATTTCTCAATTTTATGGCACAAAACTTGGCATAGGATTTTCTAAACTTACCTTGCTCTTCTTTCCCCCAAAATAATGCACTATCGCATAATATCACTTACCTCTATTTCATGGCCGCAAAATATTTTCCGATTTTGTGAACAGATATAATTATAAAGTTCCTGCTCTTCATGAATGTTCTTTTATAGTGCAACGTGCACAAACAAGAAGTTATTTTCCGCAGTGTTTAATAGCGTAGGAAATTCCTTGGATACAACAAACGCTGTATCAACAAACGCTGGATTTCGCCCATTTCCGACTCTATTTTCTCCCAGTATACTGATCTGAATGGAATTAAATTCTAGTAAACGGTATTTTGCGCCTCAAGTCAACCCAATGAACTAAAATAAACAACCTCAAATGTGTGTTAAATCCCCTCAAGTCCCAAATTTTCATCAGGTATGTAATCTACTCCATATCAATTAATCGTACGCGTGTATATTAGTCAAGAACCGAAGTCTCTTATTACCGACCGCTATTAAGAGTGGACTTGTGGACGCGTATTCAATGTCTGACTTCCGCTCGGTTAGAGAGTTTCGTGCCCATTGACACATAGCTCGTCTTATAATCGCCTTGGCACTTTGAGCCGTCGAAGGTATTAGTATTCTAACAGAAAAAGAGGGAAAACACTAAAGCGTATTTTGTTTAAACTCACGGTCAACTCTAAACTCTCTATATCGTCTCTTGAAAGTATTTTAATCACTGCGTTTGTTTTTCTCATATTTTCCTATTCTGCGTTATTTTCAACAAACTAGATTGCATGTTTGCAATTGGAATATATGGGAACAACGGCACTTATTCAAAAGTTGAGAAGTTTGAGACAAAAACACGTCGATGGAGTGAACAGGCATCGCTCTCCAATACGCGGCAGTACCATGCGACTGTCAGCGTTCCAGTGGGCTGAGAATGTGTTATATGCATCTTCGGAGGATATGGCAAAGATCTGTACGGTAACAGTCGTTATGACAAATGTGACTACTATTATCCACAGGAAAACAAGTGAGTATGCGAGGTGCGATAACTCTAATAATAAATTATACGAGGAAGATCTGAGCGACAGTTGCTGGCTTAATTGTTGGTACAATTGAGTGATGCTTTAGCTCTAGCTCAGCGGGCCACACCAGACCTGAAGTTAAAGGGCTGCATCCTGTAGAGTGTTCTCTTTTTCCTTTTATAGGCCTGGCGTCTCTATAAAATTACATGGAATATATCCGAGAGAGTTGTCTGCCATCACATATTTGCAACCTCCCATCTGGTCTAATCTTTCCGCAACGTTTTGCTACTCTGCTTTCAGATGCTTACTTCGGATGCCCAGACCTGTGTACCGTTAGTCATCTGTTGAACATTGAACGCGCAAACGGACTGTTAAACCCTCTTAGCCACCGCCTCTGGTTGTGCTGGCACTAGCTTGTTGCTGGTACCCTGGCTTGGGGAGGTGGGAGAGAATGCGGTAGATGCTGCGCAAGCTTAAAATCACTGCGAAGTAATTAATGCCCAAGACATCGTTCCTGCGCCTCAGATTCGATAACTGTCTGCGCAAGCTGACCCTCGTTTCCGGATAGGTCCGAAGTGTGCTTTAGCTACGCATCAATTTTAGCCACATTTGTTGGTTCATCGGGTTTGAAACTGAGTATCATTTCAGTATTTTCTTTTCTGCAGATGGTACGCACTGCCTCGGTTGAGAGAAATAAGACAGTACGCAGCGGCGGCTGCACTGCCAGATGGTCGCGTATTCGTGATTGGTGGTCAAAACCAATCTGGCTCTGCAGTCTCCTCTGTGGAGGCCTGTCATCTACGGGAGCCAGCAGACTGGCAAGGACAGCAAAACACATCGGGCGACTTTTGGAGGAGTGTTGCTCCCATGAATAGCCCACGTACAAACCATGCGGCGGTTGTATTCAGGGGCAGCATTTTTGTGGCTGGGGGCACCACTAGCAATTACCAGTCTGCGGACACAGTCGAGGTCTTTGCCCCGCCCGAGAACCCGCAGCTGATGGGACTGTGGACAAAGCTCACTAACAGCATTTTGAAGGGGCCTTATGTTTCGCTCATCGTTTGGCAATGCAGACTCTTTTCTTTCTGTAAGTCCACAATCGTGCCTCTTACGATAGGTTCATTTTGCTCTCTTTGAGCTTGCACTCCTTGTATTCCCAGAACGAGTAATGGTAAGATCACAAGTTGTTTTGCTGATGAGATAGTTTGGTGTTGCTTTACACTTTCTCGCGCTTTTTGCAGATTTCCTC